TGTGCCCGCCGCCCGGGCTGGTCTGGACGCTCCCCTGCCGACATCAAAGCCCTTTGTCGGCAGCCCCGGTAAGCCTCATCCCACGAGGGATAATGGGGCTGCCGACAAAGGGCTTTGATGTCAGCAGGGGAGCGTCCAGACTAGCACACTGAGCGGACAAACAGCTGATCAGCTGTTTGTCGGCTCAGCACGGCAGCCATGTAAATTTAAATGAAGCTGCGATCATTTAAATCGCAGCTTCATTTGCCTTTGCCTATGTGTCTAATCTACATGCCTCTGACGACAGAGGCATGTAGTCTAGACACAGCCTTAAAGTACACCTTGTAGCTATCTCAGCTTTCCACCCAGGTTGGGGGATGGAGTCCCCCTTTGGGAACCCAGTGGTCAGCCGTTTCCTTAAGGGTCTAGATCAGCTCTACCCATAGGTGAGGCAGCCATTACTGTCATTGGGATATGAATTTGGTACTCTCCCAGCTCATGCCCCTCCTCCCCATTTGAGCCCCTACCTACTTGCTGTCTACCCTACCTCTCTACAAAGTGGCCTTCCTGGTAGCTATTACTTCTGCCAAATGGTCGGTGGCATCTGAGCCTCAGTAAAAGGTTTTTATAAGAATAAGGTGCAGCAAAGGCCCCATCATGCGTTCCTGCCAAAGGTTGTGTCACCTTTCCACGCTAATCAGAATGTTTTTCTCCCTGTTTTCTTCTCTAAACCACAAGACAGGGATAGGGAGCCACACTCCCTGGATGTACGGCATGCCCTTGCCTTCTATATTGAGTGCACTAAACTGTTCCACTGGTCAATGCAGCTCTTTGTCTCCCCGGAATGCATGAAGGGCCTCCCGATTACATCACTGTGCCTGTTGTCCTGGGTGACTATGTGTCACAAGCTGTGCTGTGACTTGGCCAAGGTGCTGGCCCCATCTACCACAGCACATTCCATTCCGGAGCAAGCCTCAGTGGCGACCTTTCTAGCAATAGTCCCAATTCAGGACAACTTCAGGGCAGCTCACACCTCAGCGCATCCTCAGCGCACACCATCATGGCTGATTATTTCCTCACTCAGCAGTCCCAGGATGATGCAGCATTCGGTAGAGCAGTACTGCCCTCAGCAATGAGTTGAGGTCCAACCCCTCCTCTGTACAAACCACTGGTAAATCACATATTGGAATGCACATGAGCAATCTCTCATTCTAGAAGAAAGAATGGTTACTTTCCTTTTGTAACTGTTCTTTAAAATGCATTGCTCGTGTCCAGACCCATCCGCCTCCCTTCTGTCAGATTGTTCCAGCAAGAAAGAACTAAAGCAGGAGTTGAGACGGCAGGGGTATATATTTGACACCGCGAGGTGTCACCAAGAGGGCGCTACAACTGACCCAATGGGTGCTGCTAGGGAAAAAGTCTTCCGAAGATCATGCATGCAGCACACACACACATACATATATTGGAATGGATATGAGCAGCCCACCTCGAAGAACAACAGTTATGAAGAGTAAGTAACTGTTCTTTCTGTTCACACTACGCAATTACCCAGCAGGCCTGAAATGAGGCAGTGTCTGGTAGAGCGGTGCTCCAATCGGTGGACATTTAGATTCCGTCTCCTAAACTTAGGCTAGAGAATCACCCAATTGAAATTGACATGAGCGGCACTCGAAGAAGAAAAAATAGTTACCTTCTCGTAACCGGTGTTCTTCGAGATGTGTTGTTCATGCCCATTCCTGTACCCATCCACCTACACCTCTGTTGGAATAGCTGGCAGGAAGGAATTGAAGGGTGGAGGGCTGGCAGGGCTCTCGGGTTGAGCATGAAGGTGCAAATCCAGTGGGTATCTAAGTCAACCCGGTGGATGCTGCTAGGGAAAAATCCTAAGGCTGCCATGCCTATGCCCAGTGTACTTAGTGGGACCATTCACGTAGTGAGGTGTTACGCAGCATAAAAAATAAGGGTCAGGGTGCTGGTATAAAGGGTGTGCTGAGAGCCACTGAACTAAATCGTAAATCCTGTATATAATGGAAGGGACTTCAACTTAGAGGGTGCAAGAGCACTTTTAGTTCCAACACCTATGATAAGGGTACTAGAATCTGGCCCCATCTCTTCTGAAATATTACTGTGTAGTATACTGATGCAGTTAGTGACACTATATTTTAACTATATAGGCTGTAAAAGACTGTAAAATTTTCCTACGGCATTCATTTAAGTTTTGTGATGAGACATTGTTGCCCTCAGGGTGAAATAAAATTGTTGATGCAAATACAATAACTGAAAAATCTGAACTGCCTGTTGAGATGTTAGTAGAATTTAGATGCACCTGATAGAATGAGAAACTTGCCTCATGGTACTTAAGACAGGATGCAGGTGCACCATGCATTTGATTTACATTTTCTGTTAAAGTGTCCTTATATACTGTAGCTCAGTCGCTGTATCTAATCACAAGGTTTAATGGTCTTAAACAGTGCACTTAGGGCCCTGTTCAATTAAAAAATGTCCTAGAGAAATCCCTTTTTCATTGTTTTCCCAGACTTACACAGCCTTCTGCAGAGAAGTGGTAATTTTTTTTATTAAACTGGGCCCTAGGATTCCTTTCATTCCAAGTCATTTTCCTTTCAACATATTCTGTAACAGTCTTAGTACAGAAAATATTTTTCCAACTAGCATTTACAAAAATGGATCGTTTGCTTCTCCATTAGTTTGAAGACCTCTGGAATTCAGTGTCTGTTGATGCTGATGGAAGACTGAAGTACTGTGATTTTTTGAAGAAATTCAACTGCGAAGCAGTAACAATGCCATCAGATACTCAGGCTATGAACAGTGCTGCTTGCCCCTCCAAACCTGCTACTCCTGCTGAGCCTGGGTCACGGTTACCTTCTCAGCCTTCACGTCCCAAGACAGCAGCTTCTCCTTCAGTTCAAGTGAAAGTAGGTGTTTGATTATTTAAGGACTTTCCTGGGTTTTCATATTTATTAGAGGCCTGATCCAATGCCAATAGAAGTAAATGAAAATATTCCCATTGACTTCATTGAGCATCAAATCAGACCCAAATGTTTGTTGATAAGAAGCTTTGGCACTTTGCAGAGGATTTGGGGTGATAAAAAATGGACTTGATCCTAAGTTGGCATAAGTCGGGTGGGGAACATATGGTGCCAGCTCCCCTCTGTGGGAAGAGGGGAGTAACCCCGAGCCTGGTGGGCTGGAGTCAGACAAGCCAGGGCCAGATCTAGCCCACAGACTGCCTGACAGTGGGAGGAAATGGCTCCATATGCTGCTGCTTCCCCTCTTAGTCCCTCTCCTCCCTGGCTAGGGAAACTGCAGCACAGCAAAGTGCTGCCTAGAGGATTTTCCCCAGCTGCTCTGATTGGCCTTAATCACAGTCAATAGGAGCAACAGGGGGGCAGTGCCTGGGAGTGGCAAGGGACAGGGAGCCATGTGCGTCCCTGGGGAGCTGTGCTGATAAGTGCCCCCCCCATCTCTTAGACCCCACATCCTACTTCGCTCCTGCACCCCATTCCCACCCAGATCCTCCCCAGCCTGCTCCTGCACCCTACCTCCCACCCAACCCCCCTACCCCAGCCTACTTCCCAGCAGCCCCCACCACACATTGAACTCCTTATTTTTAGACACCCCCCAAGGTTCTGGTGTGTGAGTGGAATGTGGGGAGGGTCTTTCAGCAGCCCCCGATCCAAAAAAGGTTGTTCAAAAAGCAGTAGCCAATTGAACAGATTAAAGCTGCAAAGGACTTCCCATGTTTGGTAGGTCTAAAAGCATTGACCTGCTGAGAACTTGATTATTGTAAGTTCTTGCAATGGAAAGGCCTAACACATTCCTCCTTTATGCCTAAGGGATTGATCCAATTCTCACTGAAGTCAATGGAACATTTCTCATTAACTTTAGTGGAAGTTGGATCTGGACCTAGAAAGATCATAGGAACACAGGTTCCCCTGCCCAAAAATGCACATCTGTTGAACAGCCCCAGGTCTATGTCATCATTGCTCATCATCCTAGAAGTACCCCGGTGGCCATGTGTAAGTGGGATGTGGGGATCATAGCCAAGATTTATGATGTAAGCCTGAGATCTGCAAGAATACATGGGAAAGACCCTGTGAATATTACATTAGAATCTGTCTCCCTTCACAAATGTCAGTGGAGCTCACGCCACGCTGCCCAAGGCTGAGGGCTCACAAGCCCATGCTTAATCGCTCCTTGTTCTCAGAATGATAAATTCTACTGAGTTACACATCTATTGCAAAGAACAACTGTTTCCCTTCTGGTCACACCCTCTTCTGCTGTAGAGGAGAGCTCACCTGTTGTGATCACTGAAGGGAAAGTGGAGTGATCCCTGAAGTGGAGAATGTACAGGGAATATACTTTGCACCCAATCCTTCTCTGTTGGAATGGGGCTTTACTGTTCCTCTCCATGCTGCCTAAGGGGAGGGGAATATATGGCCATATTATAGGCATGCTTGGCATAATTCATTTTTAATATAATTTCGACAGATTGATATTTATTTTTAAGCATTTTTTACATCTATTGATTTAGACTTTCACAGTAGAGGGAAATTATAGGGGGAACTTGCAAAGGTAAAGGGGGTCAGACAGCAATTATTTAATGACAGTAGATATTGAAATTTAAAAAATTAGTTTTCTAACCATTAAAACACAAATTGTCAACACCACATGTCAAAATATACTGCATAAATATCCTTATATCAAACGCTATTAAATTCTCAAACAGCATTTCTCTTACTTTGCCAGTCTGTACATTTCAGTTATCATGAATGAAAATATTTTTTGTTGTGTTATGAGTATACAGTGAAATTGTTGTTTACTGACATTTGCTGATAAAAATCAAATGCTTGCAAGCCCAATTATAAGGTTCTTTTTTTAAATTTACAATAGGTAAATTAGTATACTTGCTTTAAATTGTCCCATTCCAAGAATTTGTGCATTGATCTATTTATTGTGAGATTGACATCAAATGACATCTTGTTAAAACAAATATATCTGCCACTTACGGAACAATAGGTTCAAGGGGGAATATACGTAATTGAGCTATGAGTTAAGCAGAGTCAAGAAAATTACAGACAGAAAAACACTCAGTAGTTTCAAAGTAGATCAATTTCCAGCATACTAATATGCATGGTGTCATTTTAACATGTTCATCCAAGAAGAAGAATTTTTACTCTAATGCTGACATAAATCAGATCATAAATAGGGATGCTTCAAACAGGAAGGTATGATAAAGTTTGGGAGCAGTAGAGCTGGGATTTCTTTTAATGTTTTGTCTATGTAAATCTTAAATTTGCCTGTTACTTTAGACTCCAGTGTCCAGCCGCCCTCATACTGCAGTGGCATGGTCTCCACCTTTACTGAACTGCGAACCAATAGAAAATAAAATAAGAAAGATCATTCAGCATTCCTGGAGAGAAATACTGAAAGCCTGTAAAGAGAAAGATGTTGACCGGCTAGGAGAAGTCTCAAAGTCTGATTTCTTAGGTTTGTTGCCATCTGAAAATTGTGGTACCTCATGCTAAAATGTGCTTAAGCTTCTTTCTAGCTGCCAATTTATGGGAAAACACTGCCCTTAGCAATTGGTATCAGCTGCATGAGTGATCCGGGTTCCATAATACTATTGTAAAGTAAAATCACTCAAAGAAGGCTGTGGGGGAATGTACCGGTAGGCAGAATTTGTTTATTTGAAAGGAAAAGCATGGTTTTAGCTGGTGTTTGCTCTAGTATACAGCATAGCATATGGACTGGATGGATTGCCATGCTCCCCAACAGAATATTCCCTTGTGATAGTAAGTTTAGGCACCAAACCTTAACACTAGCACACTCATAAGAGGCTTTATTGAAATCAATGACAGGACTTTTATATATTTCAATAGAAGCAGGATTTCATTCTTAGTGTAGTATGCTGCTCTCCTGCTGTGGATTTGTGTGTGTGTGTATGTGTGTGTGTGTGTGTGTGGGGGGGGTAATTATCAGTGCATTCTTTCCGTAATCAGGATATCTGCATGGACAGACTTTTTGCCTAAATAATAGCATAGGGTACGTCTACACTACCCTGCTAGTTCGAACTAGCAGGGTAATGTAGGCATACCGCACTTGCAAATGAAGCCCGGGATTTGAATTTCCCAGGCTTCATTTGCATAAACCGGCCGGCGCCATTTTTAAATGCCGGCTTGTTCGAACCCCGTGCCGCGCGGCTACACGCAGCACGGGCTAGATAGTTCGAACTAGCA